AGCAACATTAAGAAATCTACAAAAAAAGATTCCAGTTACCATGGCCGTCTGGGCTCCTCATTACGGAGAGGCTGCGTCGGGCAATTATCACCGTGGTTATTGTTAGATTTGCCCTAATGGCTGGTTTGACAGCCGTGTACACAAGGGCAGTGGGACAGAACATCCTCCCTACGGCTCCCTGAAGCCAAATTGGTCATTTTGTTAAATGTCATTAACGGCGCCTCTTTGACAGACTTTAGTCGAGGCGTTGCGATCAAGGTCGTATGGACCTGCGTGTAGCGCTCCGACGCCGACTTGGCGCTCGTTCCGCTCGCCGATCAGCACCCGGCGCGGGCGACGCAAGAGGAAGCAGATCCAACGACGACTCCGCGAGCCGTTGACTAACTCGTCGAACGCACCCTCCGTCCCAGCTATTATTTGCGGGGCGGGGTTTTTCCCCCGCTTTGCACGATCGCGCGCGCTCGCCAAAGGCCCACCACCCCTCTCCCCGAATGTCCCGAGCGCGGACTCGGTTCGCTCGGGTCGCGTTTCCCCGGCCGAACGACCACGAGCGAATCGTGTGGGGCCGCTCAGGTTAAGCTCGGGGTGGGCGGGGGTGGGGCGGAGTGCGATCGGCGTCCGCCTCCGTTGCTCGTCGCTGCCCGTGGTTTGACACGGCGATCACGTAAACCTTTTTTAATAAAGCATTGTTTGATCCGCCGTTTCAGGCTGTAAAAAAAACCTCGTGCTGTCAAAGAGTTGGAAGGTCATAATGGTGGAGTAAAATAGAAAAAAAACTATTGCTGGTAAATTTTGATCAAAAGAAGAACTGACTTTTAATCTCGTGCAATCCAAAAACGCAGCCTCGTTATTTCAACCTCTCTCTGTCTGCGATCGCGTTATTAATAGACGCGTCCTGCCGTCGCGCGCCAGCTCACTCGTGGTGAAATCCAGCACGATAATTGTAATCGCGTCCAGAATAGTTATCGTTTAAATACTTTGTAAAAAATACCTAATAACTTCATAACACGTTGAAATGTAATTATTGCTTTATCTAATTATGATCATGCACGTAAATGAAAATAGTCTATTGTTTCCTCCAAAATGTCCACGTTTATATTTGCACGGGGAGCCACTTTCCTCAACGTATAATTTGTAACGAAAATATATATATATTTGGCGTTAAAATCTAGCGTTGAGGAAACCGATACGATGTTGTTATTTGGGGCGCGAGTAGAGTAAATCAGGCGGGCGCGCAAGCTGTCCTCGCTCATTAAGCCGAAGCGATCAAACGTGACTCAACCGCTGGGGCGCAGAGCCAGACTCCTCGTCCCTCCCCAGGGAGCTCACGGGGAGCGCAGCCTGCCCCACCAGGCCGAGCCTCAGCGGAGCCTTTGTCTCAGAGCCTGGCAACGGTGGGGGGTTATTTTTTATTTCACCATGAATTCTCGTGATCCGAACTGCCTTCCTTCCTTCCTTGAAATTGGTCCCAGCAGATAGGTTGGGTCATCACCGCTCTCGCTTCTAACCCCACCCAGAAGCCCCCTGGTCGATGGGCCATCGCTAACGACCCCCCCCCCCCCCCCCCGCGGTCACTAATCCGGGTGTCTCCACGATGAGCGGCTCTCACGAAAACCTTGCTTGAGGCGCCGATGGCATCAAGCAGCGTGGTACCGCTGCGCGACCCGCCGGGGTTATTCATGGCCCGCTCTCCCCTCCCATTGAGTCGCAAGCTCGAGGACTCTGATTCATAATTCTTTCTGCGAGCTGGTCAACTCCCATTTATTCAAAACATTTTTATTTTCACATTTGCATTTTTATGTACATGCTCGTTTGTTTCAACCTCAAGGGCTCGATCTGCGGTGCTGCGGTGTCGCCCGATCGGCGTGTTTGTTGGTTGGGTGTTTTTATTCATGCCTTCATTGCTTCGGTTATTTACTCCTTGGGTTTTTCCGGTGACGGGAGCGGGAAGCGAGGGAGACGGCCGCGGTAGCTCCTCCCGCGTGGACGGCGCAAATTTAATCTGCGCGTAATTTCTGATGCATGATTTAAAAAATAATAATAATGAGCATTTAATTTTGTTCAATTAAAAAAATCTGTTTCGATTTTGCTGGTTAACAAGAAATGAGTGTTGACAAAGCCGGTCTCATACTGGCAAGAGAGATGACCGCTCTCCAGAGACAGCTGTGAAATTCATGAGTGTGCACACAAAGCCCCCAGGATAGCCTTAACAGACTGTTGCGGCAACTGCTGTTAGCGATTACCACCTATGAGGGGGTGGGTGTCCAGCACCACGCCCGGCCGCCTTTGTCTCCCCAGTGGCGATGTTTTACACATTGCACCAGTTAATCATTTGAGGCTGGGTTGACCTAGGGGAAGCCCAGGACTGGTACAGATAATCGTCCCTGGCCATGAGCGAGAATCGAACTCGGATCGCTGCATTTACAGCGCAGCACACTAACCATTTTACTACCTCAATTACATACATAGTACAAAAAAACATGAGGATCTCCTGTAAAGCCTTAACAGACTGTTGGGGCAAGTTCTGTTAGCTAGCACCAATGAAGGCCGGAAAGGCACAAGAGTAGGCGGGTAGCCAGCACCATGCCCGGCCGCCTTTGTCTCCCAAGTCGTGATGTTTACACAACACACCAGGTACTCATACTGTTAGGTTTTTTCGGTATAGTCACGTAGGTAAAAAATTAGAATTAATAAAAGTAAAATAAAATAAAAATCACGACGTTTCGGAGGCAACACAAGCTTCCGTCTTCAGGTGGAACCGTCACAGCCACGACAGCTGTATCAAGTAAATGAGAGATTACAAGAGTGGTTTTTATTTTATTTTACTTTTATTAATTGTAATTTTTTACCTACGTGACTATACCGAAAAAACCTAAGAGTATGAATCCTTGCAGTCACGAAAGCTTCAAATCTAGAACCAGGCTGAGTCGACCTAGGGGGAAGGCCCAGGACCGGTTCTGATAATCGTCGCTTGTGTTGGCTGTGAGCGGTAATCGAGCTCGGTTCTCCAGGTTCGTGGCGCACGCAGCGCGTTAACCACTTCACTTCCACTCCCGACCATAGTACAGGTACAAACACAAGCAGGCACCACAACAATACGGAGCCACACACACACACAAAGACAAGATGCACATAGACGCATGCGTACAAAGATGCACAGAAAACAAGCACAAACACACAGAGTCCCACTAAACGCAGACATGTGCACATGCTTGCAACCCGCTGTGCGTGCATGCGCACATGGAAGCACACAGGTGTGCAGGAGGTCCAACTGCAGTGGGTGACGACGATGGGAGAGATTAGGCAGGGGCCCTCATTTATTTTTATGATAATGATTCAGCCTGTAACGCACTCCGCATTCACCCACTCTCAGAGGCACGAGAAGGAACCACACACGTGGGAAGGCAGCAGCCAGGCGGGGAACAGGTGTTACCAGCAATTGCCCAAGCTCTGCGGTCCTCTATAGATGAAGATGTTTTCAGACGATAAATCAGTGTCTCTACATTCCTTGCACCAAGGCCCATGCCAACCAGTCAACGCCGCCCCCGCCGCAATGGGAGAGGCCGAGCTATGAGCACGGAGACCTCCTCATCGTCCTCTCCCATGAGCGAGCGTCTCTTGCCTGTGACCCCCCCCCCCTTCCCCGATAGAGCCCCCGTTACCCCCACCCTTACAGGGCACGCGACACCAAAACGCCCATCCACCGGGCCTCTAACCTACATCGCTTTCGCAGTCGTTTATCCAAGCTGCACGCATTCCACGGGGTTGTTTTTTTTGTCCTGCTGCACATGCCCGATGTCACGGAGCAAGCCCTGATGTGGGGAGTCTATAATAACGGGCAGATACGAATACATCATGGCCACGCGGGCCTTCCTTAACACACGACGCTGCGTGCGCCCGCTCGCTGTGCGCCCGCCCGGCATACCCCCCCCCCCCCCCATCCATCACGCCGTGCAGGGCCGGGCAGGGCCGGGCAGGGCCGGGCCGTCAATCACGCGGCCGCTGGGAGCCCCATGGGGCCGGCGTTCCTCGCGTGCCTCGGCATTAACCCCCATTCCATGCGGAGTGCCGTGCGTACGTACGCACACACACTCGTGCACACGACGTTCGCCCGTCGTAGGTTTGCGTCGAGTGTTCGCACGCGTGTCAGGGCACCCGCACCAACCACGCTGTCCAGCCGCACAGACACCCAACCAGCCATACATCCACCCAGCCACACATCCACCCAGCCACCCACTCATTCACCTAGCCACCCAACCACTCACTCGGCCATCCACCCACTGCAGCCTGTTGAACTTTCGCACCGTACTTGGCCAACCGTGATAATTGGAGGTGCGAGGTAAGGACAATAGACTCAACACATAAAACAGTTAGAAAGAAATAAGTTGTCAATTTAGATTTGAAAGTGCATTGCTCCAGTGGCTTCCTACTATCGGAAGGCAGGGCGTTCCAGACGGCCGCAGATGCGCGTCAAACTGTGAACACCAAAACTGAAGTGATCAAAAACGCACAAGGGGTCCCTGCCATAGCAGCAGCGGTGAAGGAGCTTGGCACGTTCTGTTTGTGTGGCAAACCTTACTAATTGGTGGTGGCGGGTTTAACAACACATTTATATTTACGCGATGTAACCCCAAAAAAACCCTGTATTATGGATATTCGTCGTGTTAAACTGGTGAAGGAACTGTTTGGGTGGTTGTTTATAGTGGCACGGCTGGTACCCGTGGGCAGGTGGCCAGTTGGTCGGGGTGAGTTCGAAGTTGGGTTACGGAAGGTTCGGTGCGAGCGTTTGGCTCAGTCGGCTGTTCTGTCCATTCACTGCTTGCCACTCCTCCCTGTGACCGATCTGAGTTTCTGGCATCTGCCCTTATTATACATCTATGTATCTCCTCTTGCGTAACACATCTTTTGTGGTTGCAGATGATTTGGTCAGGGATTATGATGATGATGAAGTGCCTTTGTGTTCATCGTGCCCTGCACTGCAGCTTTATGTAAAAACTCACCTTCAGCCTGACACGATGTTTCCCCGCGTAGTTAACGCAGCGCTCACACAGACGTCAATCAAGAAACCCAGCAGAGCTCCACGGGACTGCACACTTCACATCAACATTCATCGTTGTATTTTGAATTAGTCGATAACGTTTGGCTTCCACTGGCCACTACCTTGCCATGGCAACGAGGTCTGAGTGCCTTGTAGGCCTGAATCAACGTCAAAATAATTTTCCCGCTTTAATTAGCATTGAGGTGCTGCACCGTGTACAGCTTTGAGTCAGTGGTGGAAATTCCACGATCCTCTGGTGGGGAGTATATTCATAGGACAACCATTGCATATACTTCCACTGCACGTAAAGTGGTACTCATTTTATCGACCCAGGAGGGGAGAGATGAGGGGCTGAGTCAAACCCCCCAACCAGGATTTGAACTCGCAACTTTCCGATTGCGAGCCACTGGCTCTACCGCTGAACCAGCAGAACGGGATAGGGGCACCCGGCGAGGCGCTTGTGGCTCTCGACACAGGGAGCTCGGGCAAGCGGGCAAGGAAGGTCCCGCCCTAAGAACCGGTCTGGGTTTGTTTTGACGGTCGCGCCAGAATGCTCTCTTGCAGCGCCACGCCTCACCCCCTTCGTCGGCTACTTAGCGTCGCCGGCACGAGGCGGGCGGGGAGAGGAGGAGGCCTCAGCCGGGAGCGCCGCTGCCATTCAACGGCCGCCGTGAGAAATGAGGCGGCGACGCCCGAAGCTCTCTCCAAAGACCGTGCCGCGTTTTACGGTGATGAATTGGGGAATTTTCCCATTGTCATTTCACCAAATTGCCCGGGCTTCCTCTGGGAGTTCACGCCCGGGAAATGTATGTAAGAGGATCCATTGAGCTGGCGGATCACAGGGGACATCTCGAGCTGACAATTTGCAACACAAACGTTCGGGTGAGCTGCGGAGAGCGGTGAACCCTCCCCGTCTGCCCCCGACACCTCCGCAGCGTGGACTCGAGCGATGGGTCAAGGGCAGGCTTTCGAGCGAGAGATGGCGGTCTCCCCATGTCCACGAGGCCCAATCGGCCGAGAGGGAACGCAGCCGATCAATGGCCAAAGGGCCTCGTTCTGACGCGGCATTGCTCTCATTAGAAGCCCGCGACTTTGTGTCTGTGTGTGTCTGTATGTGTCTATGCGTGTCTGTGTGTGTCTATGCGTGTCTATGTGTGTCCGTGTGATAACGCGATGAGGAGCTTGGCCGGGCAGTGCCTCCAATGACTCACAGTGTCACTGAAAGACCGTATGTGGTGCGACGCTTTCCGTAAGGACGCAGCCATGCCGTGAGAGAAAACTGACAGTTATAATAAATACATTGTTTTATTGTTATAATAATTGCGGGGCACTTCTGCTTTGGGTTGCAGCAAACCGAGAAAGGACCTTTTAAACGGATTTATGTTGAACCTCTTTTGCACTGTACGCAGCCAACCGCACTCATCGGAGGTACAGGGGTAGGACAGCAAACTAACCACAAAAAGCACTTCCAAAGAAATGAGTTTTCAGTTTAAGTCAATGGGCCTTCGCAGGGTAAAGGCCCCGTGCCTCGTGCCTCTATGTGGCGGTGATAGCCTCTACCACAAACACGCAAGCTCAAAACGTATAGACCCTGCCACGTCGCTTTGCACACTCACAGCACACGCGTGCGCCTGTGCACTTCTCCATTATCGCCGTCACAACGCTGGCGCCAGACGCACGCCTGTACGCATGCATGCACGCGCGCACGGGGAGGTGACTATTTTTTTGTGCTGCTCCTGTGGAGCCCTCGCCACGGCGCGGACACAGCCGAGAGCAGAAGCGGACACCAGGCACACTCACCGTCGCGGCCAGAGCCGTGCCGCGAAAGGCAGAGCCGTGACACACTGGAGAGAGCAGTGCCAAGCCTGCCAGAGCCGTGTGGCGCCGGCCAGAGCCGTGTGGCACTGGTCAGAACTGTGTCAGACCGGCCCGAGCCGTGCCGCGCCGGCCCGAGCCACCACCGTTACTCTGCACGCGGCCCCCCGCTCTGAGTCTCCGTCCCCTGGGAGTTCATTCGACTGAGTGACGGGAGCGAGTGGCGAGGCAGCGAGGAAGCACAGACACTATTTTTAACGTGAACCGAGTGAATGCGTGGCCTCCCCGGCTTTGTGCAGGGGCGTGGGGCGGGAGTCATCGCCACGTTGGGGCTTTTGCTGAAAGAAAACATTCGCAACACTTTCTCCGTCTTAAGCGCCTTAAGCCCACAGCACTCCCAGTCCCAGGGCTTCCCCTTAAGCCCCCACAAGCAGCCTTGTGCCAGGGCGGTGCTTGTACGACTCTGCCTGTTAATAGTTCGGAGAGTTTGAGCACAAATACCATGAAACAATGTTTTCATTTAAATCGCATAATCTCTAAATTTTCCACCGCTCTTAGCACGCGGCGAATGAAAAATAAACTCTTTAAGGGGAAGCGGAATGCTTGAACGCGACGGAAGCCAATAAATTGCAGTCAAACAAGTCTTCGAAGCTTTCGGCGGCGCAAATCCGGGGAATTTGTTCGCGGTTGCCTTGCGCTCATTTATTCACCGTGTTCCCTCCGCCTGACGGAGCAGAAGAACATCGGGGTTTGAGAACTCCGTTCTTTGCGCGGTCCTCTTGGTGGGGGGGGAGCGGGGGGAGTGGGGGGGGGGGTCCAATCAGCCGCGCAGCTCGAGACTCAACGTTCGCGGGCGGTGGGCGGGAGACAACGTGTGGCCACACGTCGCTGCCGCCCCCCCCCTCTCCTCGCCCGCTCGTGGTGGCACCAGTTGCGAGCCCTGAACCCGAGCTACCGCGTGGCACGGGGGGCCGTTGCCGCGTGTTCGGCTGGCGGAGGGAGGGAGACCACGTGGCCGTCATCGCTCGCCCTCGATATCGGTGTCGCGTTGAATTACCGCCGGAAAATCTCCGCTGTCAACGTTTTCACCTGCCGCAGATTTATTCTGTTGCACGGCTGCCGCAGCCGCCGGCGCGCGCGCGCGAGAGACAGAGGGGGAGAGAGACGCGCGTCACGTGACGCGAGAGAGACGTCCGCACGCACGCGGCGGAACGCAGCGGTCCAGGTGGCGTGGCCGTCGTTCGATGGCCGAGTCGCTTGCACGAAAACATCTCGGGCGAAATGCCCCACCCTCCCCCCTCCCCGAGTTTCCTGCCCAAATGACGTTCGCGTCCGGTGTTTTGTACAACTGGCCACCGAAGTCGGAGGGCACGGGACAAACCGCCTGGCCACCGGGTGCGTAGATTTCTCTAAGCCGTGTTCCCTAGTCTCCGGGGCGGTGGATGGCACGGGGTCGCGCGCTACCCGGCGTGGAAGAGAAGGGGGCCGTGCAGTGCCGAGGCCGGGTTCACGACCTGGAGAAGTGTTGCGCGCGTTAGACGATGATCTGGCTTCAGGGTGGCCTGCGGTTGTGTGGCACGCCGCACGACCGGCTGGGAGCGGATTGCTCGTCGCCCCGTGCTCCAGCTGCCAAGATTGTACTCTCAGAGACTCTTTATCTCGTTTAACCTCACTCATTCCCTCGGGGCGCCACAGGTCAGTGGAAGCAGCATGCTGCGAGCTGAGCCGTGGGTATTGCTGTTGTGGCGTGCCTTCTGGACCAGAGCCACGTCTACGCACTCCAAAAGACAAAGGTCCCCCGTATAGTCTTAACAGACTGATGGGGCAAGTGCTGTTAGCACAGTCTCATGCACAGCCTCACAGACAGCCGCACACACAGCTTCACACAGTTTCACACACAGCCTCACACGCAAGCCACACACACAGCCTCACAGTTTCACACACAGCCTCACACGCAAGCCACACACACAGCCTCACACAGTTTCACAGACAACCTCACACACAGCCTCACACGCAAGCTTCACACAGTTTCACACACAGCCTCACACGCAAGCCACACACACAGCCTCACACAGTTTCACACACAGCCTCACACGCAAGCCACACACACAGCCTCACAGTTTCACACACAGCCTCACACACAAGCCACACACACAGCCTCACACAGTTTCACACACAGCCTCACACGCAAGCTTCACACCTTCGCACAGCCCGCGTGCTGCTGCCACCTGCGTGGTCTGACACCTGAAGGCAGCAGAGGTGACCCAGGTGGAGGCGTCTGTTGCTCGGAGAGCTCCGTGTTCGTTGCAGGCAGATTTTGCGACTGGTTCTCTCGTCGTGTGCACATTTGAGTTATTGTTATTGCCGTTGAGTTATTGTCCGCTTCAGAGTCCTCCCCCTGTCTCACGGCTCGTGTGCCACGCCGCCTTTGGGCGTTTTTCAGCGTCGGCTGCTTTAGCTGCTCAGACGTCGGTCACGGCGGTTTAGTTATTCGGCGTCATAGATGTAAGCTTCAAGGGATACCGTGTAATTCGGTGACTGTACCACAGTGGTGTAATGTTTTATAATATTGTACTTTAACGGAAATTAATTGCATCTCTTATAGCAAACCGTATTTACAAATATATATTTTTAAAAGTCCTGGATAAAGCTGTTAAACCGCAAATTGAACACCCAAATCTCCCGCGCGAAACGTGGATTCGGCACGCGTTTTTGAGGTTGCGACACGCTCTGTGTGTGGATGCAGCCGTGTGATATCAGCCGTGGCCTCCAGGTTCCAGTGTAGGACTTGACACCCCGGGGCCAGGCATTGCCCGTTCCAGCGGTATAGCAAGCGGTGCTGCGGCCACACTGCGGGGAGGCCTCAACCCTCACCGCCACCCCAGTGGCCCGTGGCCAGGGCTTAGCGGGGAGTCTCTGCCAGCGCTATTTTTACAGCTGCTGGCTTCACACGGAGCGGTTGAGGTGCACAACAAACGACGGGGGTTTCGAGCTGTAACCCAAGAGTTCCAAAGGCAACAAGAGGCGTGCGGTGCGACACCCCGGCTCCTCTCTCGGCCGTGACATTAGGGCTGGCACCATTCGCGCGGCGTGGTGAGCCTGCCAACACCAGGCACTGCCACGTTGGGCCCATCCCCAAAATACAAATAAACTTGTTGCCATGCTCGGCTAACGCCATGAATGTCGTGAGATCATTGTTTCCCAAAAAAAAAGTACAACGGTCAAAATCGGAGTCAGAATATTTGTACGGGAGGAACCCGATGAGCTATAAAGCAATTTTTCACAGATGTCCACTAATTTCAAACTCATTTTGCAGTTCACAGATCTTAGGCCAGTGGTGGACATTCACATTTTTATGACGGGGGGAGGGGGGTATGTTCTGGGGGGGGGGGGGTATTTTCTTGGCTTCCCCCACAATGTGGCACTTCGCCTAAAAGTACCCACACAGTGTGACTGTAGCGGGAGGCCAAGCTGAGTGACAGATTGTAACGAACAGCCGACCTGTGACAACCCCAACGTTGCACGCGAGCCCCGGCTAGGCCTTTAAGCGCTTTTAATGAGCTCATCGTACTTCGCGATGGAGTTTCAGCGAATGGATCGTGGACCCCGTGTGAATGAGCCCTGCAATATTATTAGCCATGGTTTGACGGGGGGGGGGGGGGGCATCATTGCCCCACGCGTAAATGCCAAAATGCCAGCACGGAGAGATACTCTGTAATCACACACGCCCTTTCCAAATTAAAACGCTTGCTGAACTCTTGTAATGTGGTCACGAAAGCATTCTGAAAGGCGCTGCCAAGGTCTGATGTTGATACAGCTGGACATTTTATTGGCTATTTTCAGGAACTAGTTTGTTATATATTTTTTTTTATTTGACGATGGCTCAGAAGCACCGGGGTTGGTGTGTGAGGTCTTAAAAGAGGCCCTGTTTTTGTCGGCGTTTATGAGACGCCTCGCAGGCTCCGGGGAACGCCTGCGGAGCGTGTGATGACTGGCTCGATAGATTTCTTTTTTCCCTGTGATTTCAAATTCCCGCGTCGCTTCCTCGAGACTCAAATTGACCGATCTCTCAAAACGGCGCGCTCGGCGATGATTCTGTTTGTATGCGACGCGGCCGCCGCTCGTTGACAACGGCGCATCTCCCGTCGTTGTCGGCCGTTGCCGCCGCCCCCCCCCCCCCGCCGCCCTCCGGGAACGCGTCGTTTGATCTCCGCCGGGTACATTCACCCGAGCCGCCATGTGCGCGCGTAATGTCACGGCCGTAAACATGCGCTATCCGATATTGGCGCTCGCTCGGGAAATATTTTTCAAGTGCGCACACTTGTGGGTTGTCATGGCGATGCGGCGCTGTAAGTTATGGGGGGGGGGGTGTTTCCCCCCCGGAAACGTCCACCTGCACGGTGTGCGAGCAACAGGCCCGCGAGCCTTCGCGTGTTTTATTGATCGCAGAGCGGAGGGGGGTGTAGACGGTTATCGCGCGCTTGCAGATCGATGGTCTCACCTGCCCGCGCGACGCGGGGATCGGAGCGGCGCGGAGGCCTCGCTCCCCCGGGGAAGGGGGGGGGGGTCCTCTGGCAGCGTTCCCCCCCAGTTCACCGAGCATCGCGGTTATCGAGAAAACAATTAAAAGCTTAACCATCCTCGCAGATGTTGGAGCTCGGACGCGACGCCGCGAGTTTATTAAGTCGGATGTTCGTGACAACGATGCGGGGAGCTGCCGGCATTTTATTTAATAAGTGAGACATTTCGACTAACAGGCAGGAACGGTGCAGTGACCGTCCGTCTGAATTTCCCCACCGCCGACCCCCAACAGCCTCAATCAGGGACAGGGCCAGTGGAGAGGAGGAGGAGATGGGGGGAGGGCGGCAGACGGGAAGAGCTGTTTATGCCCACGCCTCAAGTCGCAATCTGACCCAAGAATCAATACATTCCAGATGCGAGTCTCAAAATACGCCCATGACCTTTTGCGTGATACCTGACTTTCCGTGACGTGACCGTGGAGAGATTTCACCACGACGACGGCGATCGCTAACGCCCTAAGCGGGAGCAGTCTTGACGCGTCAAACTAGAATAATAATAATTATAATGATGATGAGGGGTTGCCACGCCACAATGTCGTCGCGGATGTTGATATT